TTGGGGGTGGGATGGCAGGGGTAGGGGAACGGTTGGGCTGGGGGAGCTTTAAGGGCTTTGCCAACCCAAACCATTCTGGGATTCTATGGTGACCCCAGGGGGAGCGGCGAGGAAGAAGCCACATTCCCTATCAGCCCCCACCCTGGGAAAAGGTTTGAAAAAGGAGAGAAAAGGAGGAGGAAGAATTTTGAGGGAAAAAAAAAAAATACCCTTAACCCAACTTAAACATCTCCCTGGGGCTGAGCTGCTGCAAGGTTCTGGCAGAGAAACACTTTTGGGGTGGCCCACTATGGCTATGGGGTGGTGACACTGGGATGGGTTTGAGCATCGGAGAAGCCGAAAGCAGAGGCGCAGCAGGGTGGGAAGGACGAGGCCGTACTCACCCCCAGGATGGTGACGAGCCACCAGCACATCCTGCTCCTCTTCATCGCCGGGGGAGACCTGCCCGAGGGGGAACACCAGGGTCACCACGTGGGGAAAAAATCCTGGCGGAGAAGCCGTTTGGCAGCCCTAGTCCCCCCACGGGGATGCTCCAAGGCATCCCAGCAGCAGTGGTCCCCCACCAAAAAGTTTTCTTAGAGGTTTTATGGGATGCCCGGCATCACCCCCTTCCCTTGCAGATCCCAACTCCATCCTGAACTGCAGCAGGACCAGCCCTGCAAGGAGCAGGGGAAGGAGCAGATGATGCTAAACATCATTAAATAAAGTTTTTTCCTCCTCCATAGGAAATCCATACACATCTGCCACAAGGAAATGAAGTCACTAAATAAACAAATATATTTACCTAAAAAATAAATAATAATCAAGTGAAGCAAACGGCGTTTCCCACAGGCTCATCTGCCCTCTTTGGGCTCAGCAATTAATTGTTAAAATTAAAATAAATGCTGACAGCGCAGGGGAAGGCAGGAAAAAATAAATAAGAACCCAAACCCGGATCCATCCGCTGCCCGCATGGAAATTCCCCCGGTCGTCACGGTCCTGTGAGAGCCACGCCGGAGCTTCGTTACAGCCTTCGCCTGACGAGTTTCTCCTAATTAGTGGCCGGCATCATCGGTCTGAGATGCAGCTAATTAAATTTGGGAGGGGAGATGCTGGGGGATGAGCAGGGCAGAGCTGGGTAATTATAGGACATGGGCCGGGGACATGATGGCACAGCCCAAAATGAGCATCCTCTATGCTCCAGTTCTTCCCAGTAGCTCCCAGTAAGGGAGCACCCCATCAGGGTGCCAGCATGAAACCAACCAGCCCTTCTCCCCTCCTGGGGAGCTGCACCCCCAAACCAAGAGCCACCAAGCCCCATCTTCACGAGCACCCTCTGTGCCAAGCTGGGCCCCCATGATTTTTGAGGGGGCTGAGCCAGCCTGAGCCCCCCCACGTGCCACCTTCCCACCAAGCATTGTCCCAGGGCGATGTCATCCTGCAGGGACACCTCCCAAATCCCCCTGGGACTCGGGATGTGCCCCCCACCCCAGCACCCCGACCGCGAGGGGAGGGCAACGCCAGTGCAAGCCCTCTGCCCTGTAAGCCAGCACTAACAAAAATCAAGTTTAAGCCTAATGTGAAGCATTTTAATCCTTCGGGGCAGTGATGTTTCAATCTTAAAGAGCAGCACCTTGGGGAGTCCTGGAGATGTTTGGGGTGCTGCTCTGCCGGGGCAGGAGCCACGATGGCCGGAAGGGGATGGATCGGTCCCGCCGTGGCCAGGGGGCCACAAGCCATGGCCAGGGGGCCACAAGCCGTGGCCGAGCGATGCCATGGGCTGGCACAGCCCACGCATCCCAGATTGCCGGAGCATCCCAGCTCACCAGTTTGAGACAAACGGATTTAAATCCCACCAAGAACAAGGCTGGCCGCAGGTAAAGCAGAGCTAAAGCCAAGCTTAATCCAAGGATTAAGGACATCCCTTCGATGACCAAGCTCTGCCGTGGGGCCGGAGGAGGTACAAGGAGCAGGGGGCACCAGCTCCTGGCTGTCACTGGAGCTTTGCCTACCCACGGCCACCCCAGGGCTCATATTGGGGGGGCAGCTCGGGGACATCCCAGGTGGGGATGGGGGACGCAGGCACAAACCCACAGCTGGTGGTGGGAGGATGCCTGGTGGCACAGTGAGGAGAAACCCTGAAGCTCCTGGGTGAAAATAAAAACATCGTCGTTCCCCCCTAGAGAACCAGAGGAAATAAAAAAATAACCCCACCAGTGCCAGAGCCGCTTTTTGGGGACACCCTGACCTCCACCAGCCCCGTACCCCACTTGGCCAAGGCATCAATGCAAACACGTCGGGGACGGCGATGTGGTTTCGGTACCCCCCCCAAATCCCACCAGATCACAGAAGCCTTTTATCCCCAGCCCCCCCTTACAGAGCCGGTAACCCAAGGCTGCCCGCCGGGATTCCAGCAAGGGCTTCCCCTCCCTGGGGGGGAACAGGGTTTCGGCCGATGGCTCCTGCAGATAAATGGGGAAATAAAAAGGAGCAACTGTTCAGAAACACTTTGGGGCTCAGCTCTTGGAGGCAGCTTGGGACAAGGGGGGGATTGTCTGGCGTTAGCACACCCCCCCAGCCCCATCAGAGAGAGGGGAGCCACCGAACCCGTCGCAAAAAATCCAAGATTAAAGCCAAATGCTGCCAGAGATATCGCTGTCAGGCAAAGCCCG